TTTGAATCCGATCTCAGTTCACAAAGTACAGATTTGCGTATATGACTATGAACCACACTACGTGTGTGAAATCTAGTGATACTATCTGGTTGGTTAAACCGAATTAGCTGGGGCACAAATTGAATTAGTGACTGAAAGTCAAATAGCTTTACTACTGAGCCACCATCCCAGTTTAGCTCTAAGTTATCGAAAACAGTAATGTTTCCTTCGCAAAAGCTATCTGAATATGTGGTTGGTGTTTTACTGTGTTTATTGAGGCTTTTTAAACAGTTCTTGGACTAAAGCATGTGAGAAATATTTCCTCTCGCTTCCTAAGGGCAATCTAAACAAGGACTGTCGGTTTAGTTTTACGTAATGTCTTCTGTAAACTAAAACCAACTTTTATATCACACTTTGACGTCCTTCTTTTTTTGTGAATTAATACTTCGTGTTTACTACGTGCCTAGTTGTAATGTACGTAAGGCTTACAAAAGATACTTTAATTACATAAGCTGTCCTACTTATTTGTTGAATATCTTTGACGACTGATACTCTTGTGGGTGAAATAAGCCTCAGTTCATTTGATCGTTGATAGGACACAAGCTATTGTATTGAAATTCAAAAACAATATTTCGCTCTTGAAAAGATCTCTTAGCTGCATTAAAATATAAGATTTATTTCATGACAGTGCTTAAGTCATTAATCCAACTTCTGGTCACGCGAACCCCAACTAGGTGGTATTCTGAACCTGCCAACATAGTTCAGCTCAACTATTAGTGACATCATCGACTGATGCTGCCACCCCTGGGTTTTTTTTCAGCTTCCTCCTACACCGGCCCATTAAGGTATGAAGCAGTCAAGTATGCGTAACACATCCCAACTACACTAGTTGACGATTCTCAACTATATCAACCGACTTGTTGCCTTTGACTTGTACCCTATGGATCAAGGTCATGAAAACTGAGTAATGATGTACTCATCAACTCAGAAGCTTTGCCACTATATAAACGATGTATTATTTTGCAAAAGTTATACAACGATATTTTTTATCAGCTGTAAATTCGTATAGTAATAAACTGAAGATCATCTTCATGTCGAATTTATTTTGAAATCAAAACTAACCTTTTTAATCTGAATAGTAAATTAGGCGTTTTAATGTGGTTTTTCTCATTGTACGCACATGTGTTTATAATTTGTGGTAAAATTGTGTTGCCTACTATGCACAACATAAATTAAAACATAAAATTGGTCTGACATGTATTCACGCCAGTGTTTATGTTGTAATAGGATATATACTACATAAATAGCTCGGTATTGTTTATACAAAATCGTGCCAACTGAAATATTGATTGTATTCCAAGTAACCTTTTAATTGATCACATCGTTCAGAACATGAAATCCATTCACCAGCATTCAGTTCCCGTTGGTATATTTTACGGGTTCACCCGAAACTACTGATAACTGAAACGGCACCAAAGAGAATGACCTTTTATAGTGTATTTCAGTTCTTTAATGTGGTAAAATGCTTAGTATTCGACATAGAGAACTCCCATAATAGTACTACAACATAACTGAAACAAGTATAATATATGAATCAATCTATTTGCTTTACCATAAGACTTGTGTATTCAATATTTGATGTTGGGATAGCCAACGATATTTTCTGTCCATAAATTTATATATTTTAATGACCCATTAATTATTGTTTATTCGTTTGTGATGTTTTGGACACGGTGGTAACGTGTCATGTACACAAAACATCCATATTTTCGAAAACATTTCGCCTGAGACATTGGAATACATTAATCAACAGGTTGTTGTTGAAATATTAGCGTGACTCACAAATTTGTCCTTAAGAATTATTAATCGATATGTGTGTAATAGTGTATTGATAGTTTTGTTGGGTGAAATGATGAAAAATGGTCAACTAAACTAGGAGGTTTAAGTAATAATCATAAGGACGTACTGTAAAGTATTATCTCAATGAATTCTCTTTCACCAGATTAGATAATCTTGTGATATCATAACAGTTCCATTTCTTGGAAGAAATAATTACTATTCTAAAGTTATATTAGGTGGGAAATTATACTGATTGGGAACGTCACTAAAAAAATACAACTTGAAGCTCTAAAATCATCTTGACTACTAGTGTGAATCAAACAAAAGGACAAAACTAATCCAAATAGAAGACTGTCTACATGTATCCAGTGAGAAATGTTTGTAAAACTACCTAGAATTCGCAAACAATTTCTCGTTACCACCGCTTGTCTTCTAAAGAATAATATAGACACAAACATAAAATTAATTATTATTAGTGGCTTTATTCAATATTATATTTTTTGGTACAATATAGAATTCTCAGCACAAAGTATTTCAACAAGTTTCCCTTTCTTATTTCTTGCGATAAATATTGACTGGTCGCCAGTTAGATGTTAGCGGTTCAGGAATCGACATCTGATAAATGTGTCCTTTTCGATGCATATTGCCAGTAACCATGATGTGTCTGATTGAGCTCTTTTGTAACTTGTACAGCGAAATGTAAACTTTTCACAAACGCACCTGAATAGGTTATGAGACTAATAAGCATAGTGATGTGTTAAAACAAACAAGAAAACAGATAACTTGTGGAAATATCCAGATGGCAGGAACAGGTAGCCCAGATACTCAAGCAGGCCGCCGACTTAACTAGCATACAACATTCGAATGACAAGTCAGACGCCCGCTGTATGTGCACAAACGTGAACACACGTTCAGTAAAACATGATATATTATAACTGATAACAATACATACAAACAATCACGGACATGCATTCAATTGAGAAAACGTAATTATGAAACGAGGGAATTTTAAGAATCTCAGAAAACTTCTAGAAGGATGGCACTGGGATCATTCATGTTAACTTGAGTACAAGGAGAAATCAAAACAAAAAAACCTACGAAGACAAGCAACCATAAACAGGAGCACACGAACAAACTAATTTTACGTTTGTAAAATAACTAGAAAGTTCACTTCTACATGATGCGTTGATGATATCCAGAACGCACAAGAAAGCCTCACGATGAAATCATGTTGCCCAGACTATTCAAGAACACAAAAAGAAGTTAAACTGTTGCTTAGATTGAATTTATTATTTTATTTATTTTAACACATAGGTATTGGTACAAGGAGGCACCAAATATATATGAGCCACACAGACCTCATCAGATATGTGTAAGAGCTGTGATACTGCCCGGGTGCCCAAACCGAAGCAAGTGGTTTTCTTAGGGGGCCACACCCCGAGCCTTTGACCTGAACGTCTGACCCACAAGGCAGTGGAGCATCGTGAGGAGATGCAGTCCCATGGTAGCCGGTGACCAACGATTGGTTCATACGCCATTTGTTCCTTCAGGATAATGGAGCCCATGTGCACCATTAGTTTGAGATCCGGTTAAAGCGCCAGACATTCGCTTTTCGTCCTCTCATTTTCGTAAACAACACCGGTGTTACGAGAATGCAGTGAGTAGGACTTCCCTGGCAGGGCTATGTACGCGTGGCCATGTGAGAGCATTTCGAGAGGGAGAGCGGACTCTCCCCACTCTCGGCCGTACCAGGGCATATGACATTATTACAGAGTACACCCATTTAAAGTATCCTTATTATTCTAAAGATTATTTATAGACATAACCAAGAGAAAACCCATTTAAATACTTAATTAATTCTGAAGAAAGAAATTAGTAGGTGAATAAAAACGCTACACAATATCAAGTGAATATATTATAGGACTCGATAAATATAGCCTATTGAGGCGTGGAATTACACTATTCTCTACACTAAAGAAATAGAAACTTACGATGATTTTCAATGTTACAAAATGAAACTAGTAACTTGAATAATAAACACATAGAAAGAAGAAAAAAAAACACAAGTCATATATCTTTGTAGGATTCTTTTAGCTTTTAAAGATACAAATTTTGAGCAATAGATCAGTCACACATTTTTTTTAAAAAAAAAACTAAAAAACAATCGTCAGATATTTTATCTTTGTGCATGGGTCATATAGATACACAAATAATACGAAATTCAATTAATATTACAAAATATAATACATATTTCTTAAATGATACTAATGTGAAAGATAAAAGTTAATCAAAATGAAAGAGAACATTAGTATCTATGTTGTACTATTAATTTGAAATAGAAAATATTGGAATCACAAGAAGTATGTATAATAAAATATTATAATTCATTTTAGAAAAACACAACAAAAAAATCAATCACCACAATTATCAGTTAAAAATTATTAGACAGAAAAATTTGACCAACAAAAAACAAAAGTAACTTGTAGAGAACAATTTAAAAGTAAGAAAAAATTTTAGTACTATATTATTACACACGACTAGTAAGTAGCATTGGATAGTAAGAAATGATGATAAAGAAAAGAAGGAAAGACTTTGGAAAATTGTACAAACAAGAAAAGATGAATTAATGTTTTGTAATAGATAATTATTGAAATATCAAAACAAAATATAATTAAGAGTGGTGTGGCATGGTAAGTAACAATTGAGAAGTGTAAATAGTAGATTATATGTATATATACGGTTGATAAATCTGTAAATGTTTATAGCAGTAACAATATTAATATTAGTATTATAAATGTTAATACACGAATACATATATATATATATATATATATTATATGATTGACAAACAGAGATCAGTTAGTTTCAAAAGATTGAGCAGCCCGTTCTATTTGTTCCGCAATTTGATGATAAAAACGTGCTTGATCATAAAGATAGTCTTTGACTTTATTCATCCATTCATCACGAATTTGATTCATAATTAAATTACATTCAGCTTGAACAGAACGTGTAATTAATAATGTACCAGATTGAATTCGATTCACATCGGATTGACAAACTTTTTGTTCATCGGTATTACAACGATTTAATTCATCAACAGTAAGACATGCAGCTTTAGCTAGACTGATAATAGTCGATGTATTAGGTAGTAGACGAGTGAATTCCTTTAAGCATTCTTGAAGATTGATTGTTGCTTCTGACTGGAAATAAACCAAAAAAGTTGAATATTTACAATTAACTGATCAATATCTACTAAGCAGTAAGTGACTTATATCAAGTTAATCTAATCCCTAGTACCTATTACAATGTGGCTATCAGTTTAATTGACTAAAAATTACATACACTATGTTTTGGTCTTAAGTAGTTAAAGATGGTCGACAAAGAAACCCTGTTTAATCCGTGTCGTACTGTAGTGAACAGAACACGGGTGGGGAACAATCGAATGTATTTGACAACAAATGACAGAACTTGTTAATAAAATCTAACAACCATATATTAAATGCTCAATTTGCAAAATGTCCATCAATTGTCTTAAAATGACTCAGACTTCATTGTTCTTGCATTTTCACACAAATTGCATTCTTTCTTCATTCTTTACTGTTTGATCTTCTTGTCTCTCTGCTGCCAGACATTCTCTTCACGACTAACATCATATACTATTTGTGTCTACATAAGTAGCACACACCACAGTACTAGTTAGCACTCTTCAGTTATAGCGTATGTATAATCTTGAGAGAACTGCTGCTTCCAATGGGATTCGAACTTACGTCATGCAGTTGCACAGTCTGAGATGTTGTCAATGATCTACATGGGCTGCGACTAACCTGTAGTACTGAGGTATTTATTTTGTCAACTACCCCCAACCATCCAACAAAGTACAACATGCAATAAACTATGTACATTTTGGTAGAGCAAGTGTGCACTGTATAAAACTATTCAGTCAGTTTATCAACTCTCGGTTTGACATGAGTGGTTTTCGGTTCGGATCACAACGCTAGTAGGTACACGGAGACAGAAAATTAACAAGACGAGAATCAAAGGGGAGTAATTAATTTAAAATCAAACACAAATCTAGGCATGAGAAATCCAATTAGAAATGAATAAATGAGATCTTAGGATGGAAAGTTTAGAATGACACTGAATTTAAAAATGAAGGATAGAAAATGAATCAGAGTGTGTCATTGCAACAGATTTTACTCTATGTTACTTAACGCCTCTAATCATTATTATTGTGTGAATTGTTAGTTCAAACTCTGAACACACTTTTTGGCTTGATTAATTCGCCTATTTCGACACATCTCCCTTTTCAGTACGTTACAACTTATAATCTTATCAATCACCTGGCTCTTTTTACTTGTTCTCAACATATAATCTGAGTATTTTTTAACACGGTGCGACCGGTTGCTGTTCATTGTTCAATCTATACAATCCTTTAACTCGATTCTATATCAGATTTCTCTTATGAAGCCGATTTTGAGAGCAACTATTTTGTTCGGTGTCAATAAGTAACAATAGTACGTAGATTTTATTTTTATTCTATACTAATAACATCAATGTGTACAGTAGATATGCCTTTTACTTAAGGATTTATTTGTATAATTCCTATCAACTTCACTCATAAAGACAATTTTGAATGAGTGATGTCGAAAAAACTTGTCATCTTTATGACTTGAATCTTGGCGTATATTTTATTTTTCCTTTTTGCAACTACAGGTCTTTCATGTACTGTCTATGTGAGCTAGTAAGATGTTATCCGGTTATCCAGAACAGAAGTAGACTACGAACTTTGCAAACAAATGCTTTAATGATATTTAAATATATAATAATATGATTAGATGATCATGGATTTGTATGACAAAGTGATTAAAGTCGGAATTGTACAAACAAACGCTAAACTGGTGGTTCTAATGATTCACTGTTTGACAAGAAACCTGAAGGTCCTTGGTTTGATCCCTTATTAGATTATGCATAAATATTGTTAAAGATTCGCATGTACTAGGACGAAACGGCCGTTTAGTACTCTCAAATTTTCAGTTGTAACCTGAGATCAGATTGAAACGACTACAATCTACAGGTCAGATTAATGTCGGCAAAACTTTTTCAATAGGAATGAAAAAAATAGTAGCTTATTTACCTGGATTGCATGGATACATGATACGTTTCTGAATGTATTGCCAGTAGCAGCTAGTGAGGCGCATAATTTTGTATTTAATTGTTCTGAAATAAAAATAAAGTGTTTTCTCTCCATGTGAATATGTTAATAAAACTATTTTAATTAATTAGCAAAAGCTTGTACAATTTAGTGGTTACATAAACTTAGTGAATACTGCTTTCGTATTTGAGGCAAAAATAGGTATTAGGTTCAAATCTTAGTGTAGATATGAACACAGGGATACAAATACATCCAGTCGTAACAAATGACAAACAGGACAGTAATATGAGTCTTGGATTTCAATGTCTGCCAAATAGCGAAAAATATTTTAATTGAATCATCAAAACAAAAGAATGATAAATCAAACAGCTTAGATTTTATGTCAGTCAATTAATAGTTTATAGCATTGTTTAAGAGTTGTTCAGCTACTCAATAATATGGATAAATTGCTACACATACAGAAATATAAGACCAATTAGTTGGAAACAATCTACAACGTTTATACATACACTTGACTATCATGAATGAACTCAGTAAGTATAATTAGACAAATATAAAATTGGGTTTTTAAATAAAGACCCAGTGTCATTCTACTCATAAATGATGGAATTCTTTGAGTAGTTAATCCATTTATCTTATGTACTTTTAAAATTGAAATAAAGTTTACATACAAAAGACATATAAAACTCAAGATTTTAGTCGAATGCGGAAAAGTGACTAAAAGGATAAGTTAGTAAATGTTTAACCATTGAAGTATTAACTAATATATTACGATGATGACAATAATTTAATACTGAAATAACAGTGTGAACATTAGTGATTTGATTGAGAAATTGTGAAAACGTCATACGACATATTTTAAAATTTCAGGAGGCTTCATTTAAAATTATTAAACAGATGTGTTATCAGTAAAAGTGGTGAATCAAGAGTCTATGTCTTTGAAAATAATACTTATGATAAATTTCGGTAGGATTAAGTGAGAACATAAAATTCCGCTAACACAATACATTTCTTGTTATTGACTAATAAAATAAACATTTTATAGGCACTGACGTTTCAGTTTATCAATCAGTTAATGGGGATGTGAATTGTATTTGTCAAATATTGGACTGGAATTCTCAGAATTTAAAGTGAGTATCTTTATTGCTGATATCACTCAAATTGTTATCAACGAATGTATACAAATAACCTACAGGGAAACATTTTGAATAAATAATACAAGGGTCATTGTCGGGAATTTGTGAAGTATGGACATTCCCAACTTTTTTGGCTTATATCAATGAGCAAAATATGATTGAGCAGCTTTGATGACAAGTGTAATCAAATAAACAATATTGCAGTCTCTTCTCTAATTGATGATTATGCTATAACGTTGGTAATAACAATGAATAGAATAAAAAATAAGCAAAATAGGTAATTAAATTTTTATGCTCATTACTAACAATCGTACTTGTATGAACATCCGATTCAATAGCTTTGCTCATGTTAAGAAAAGCCATTGACAGTTTGGAAAATTCTTTACGAATACCTATACAGACAGAGAAAGAGAGAAAGGGAGAAGGAAGACGGGAATAAACGATCTAATGAACAAATAAATATAAAGGATGACACAAATAATAATGTTTGTTCGCAGAATGTAACACAAGAAATGAAACGACCCATAGATAAGAAAAAATGTCATTAACGTATATTTTGGTGGTCATTCAAAAATGAATGATTAGTTAGAGACTGGAGAGAGTAGAAATAAGGGAAATGAAACCTTTAGAACTGTCTAACAGTAAAATGTTATACATACTTTTATTGTGCACTTTAAACAATCCATTCATTATTATTATTATTATTATTATTATTATTATTATTATTATTATTAGTGGCTTTATTCAATATTATATTTTTTGGTACAATATAGAATTCTCAGCACAAAGTATTTCAACAAGTTTCCCTTTCTTATTTCTTGATCAGTTCCTTACGATAAATATTGAGTGGTCGCCAGTTAGATGTTAGCGGTTCAGGAATCGACATCTGATAAATGTATATCCTTTTCGATGCATATCGCCAGTAACCATGATGTCTCTGATTGAGCTCTTTTGTAACTTGTACAGCGAAATGTCGTAAACTTTTCACAAACGCACCTGAATAGGTTATGAGACTAATAGGCATAATGATGTGTTAAAACAAACAAGAAAACAGATAACTTGTGGAAATATCCAGATGGCAGGAACAGGTAGCTCAGATATTCAAGCAGGCCGCCTATGATAATAACTGTTATCTCACGATTCTTAAATTATGGCTAATTAATTATAAACCCATAACAGTTTTGTAGCACATATAACTTAATTATAAATAATATTTTGATTTTTAATTTGTAGTCCATTGTGATCATGTAACTGGTGTAAGAGCAAGTGAACTAATCGGCTATGGTTTTCTCGTCACTATTCACGGTCATTTGTATTATTGGTCAAAGAGGTCATTGACCAAATAGGCATACAATGGATGGGTCATTAGCGGACTTCAATAATCAAGTGATGTGGTCAAGTGGCAATATGAGAAGTTTTTAAATTCATCATGAAAAGAACCAATATTATTTATGTAAAAAGAGTATTACGTGATAACATGTAATTAAAGTAAGAATTTATAGTATATTTTCTTGAATAAATCATTCGAAGTAAAAGGTATACATTCTGCACAGTGAATATGAAATATGGTAGGATAGTAACTATATTATGAAGTTTGTTACCTCCTAACTGTTAGTTGGATAGAGTGCTGAAATTGCAACATTCTTGTCAGGTTCAAAGTGACATAAGTTGATTGACAGATTTTGAAATCGATCAACGCCGACCAATAAGTTAGATTCTCATGCATAACCTTTACAAACTCTTGTTCGGGATTACTAGAATGTACACTATTCCATTTCAAGTTTTCTTCCGATTTGGGAAGAATCGAATGAAGCGTTGTGTTGAAGGTGAACAAGAGTGGAAAATATGACGTTAACGAGATCGGTTGGAGTTATTCTAAACGGAATATGAGACAAAGTCTTACAGTGTAGAATATGGTGTCAGGCAGTAGAGGGAAGCAACTAAGCAACCAACAAAAGAGACAATAACAGATAATATATATGTTTTACGATAAGGGCTTTTGTCAGTTGACTTAAAAGTGATCGTCGACGTGTGAGCATTGTTGAAAAGTCCTAATTTTGGTGAAATCTAGGTTTTCTTAAAAACTGATGTTAATTTGTAGTGAAAATTCATTAATAAACACTTAAAATGTATTCGAAATTGGAGAAAACACTATTTTAATACACAGCACTCTTTATAAAATAAAAAATATAATGAAGATAAATTCTAAAAACACATCAATACAACGACAACAACAGCTTACTAATGCTTAATTTTCGATGATATTCAACAACTGTTTCACATAGAAATTTAGTTGATCTATCCAAATCGGCTAAGAATCGCTCAGCTGTTTCTGCTTTTTCAACCCTGAATTTTTATAATACAAAAGAAAAAAACAAGATTGATGAATAATGGAAAAGAGTATTATAATGAGAAAAAAGATGGTAAATTGAACAATTTAGTCTCCAAAGATGTTGAAAGTATAGGGGTGATTGTCATTTTGAGGCTGCCCAAATGATGAGAAGATAATTGTTCTTAAACTACATGAAAAAACCTGGGTCTATGACGATCTGGGAGCATTACAACATCGGCCATATACGGTGCTTTGGAGGTTGGGCCCTACTGCTGGTGATGGAAACTGATTCAAGCGTTCAGTTAAAACTTGTCAATCTGAAACGATAATGAAATTTTCGTAATTAAACCATTCAGTTTAGAGCATCCGATTATATGGCAGTAATTCCTGATCATGCGTGTGTTTTCATGGGACGTATGAATGACTCAATGATTAAGAGAGACATTTAACCACAAAAGATTTACCCAAGTTAATTGTAAGATGATTTCACAGCTTGGAATATAACTAGAGTGTAGTTCACGTAAGTTTATCTGAAGATGGGATAAAAAGTGGGATTCAGCTAATTAGTGAGCTTTACAAATGTGAACTTGGTGTTATCCCTACATTTGCCTATCATTGAGAACCGGCTACTGGATGCACAAACATTAAAACGCTATAACGTATAGAACCTGTACCATATTTTGAAGTATTAACACACTTGGATCCTATGTGTATTTTAGAAGAAGAAATTTGACTTTAAATGCTGAAACCTTTGCTACCCAGAAATTTATTTCGGTAAGGATTTCAAAAGTTGATAACAGTAACAAATACACACAGTGAGTTCGCAAGTTTCGGACGAATACAGTTACTACTACATTAGAACCAGAATAGGTTTTAGAGAATAAAACCAGGAGATAATGTTGAGAAGAGATAAGGGAATCAACTTTAATGTTGCAAGCACCCCGTAAAACTGTTGGGTTATAACAGCAAAGGAATATGCTAGGTTAACAAACTTCTAAGCATCCAAGTCACTCCCTCATACAAAAGATTATTCAAACTGGAAGCTGAGACAACAAAATAGCTTTATGAACACAAGAAAGAACTGAGCTAAACCGTATAATACATATACTATCACTCAGTAATATGAAAAGTCATCATTATCATACTGAGATGATTAGTGAGTTCAGTTTTAAATATCATTACTTTGCACTGGACTCATTATTATTAGACGCAATTAACAAATTTCACAAAAGGAAAGTATGTGAATACTCAACAAACAATTATAAATGGGCTTACAGTGATTTTGAATTTACAGAAACGATTGAGATTACCTCAACACGAAAGGAATCTATTGCGAACTTGACTTTAAGGCGACTTATATACTACATAAACTGAAATAATAATCCTTAACGCTGGACCCTGGAAGGCAGGGTTACAAACGAAACTTGATATTTAACAAAGAGAAACTGGAACCGGACAGTCCTGTATATGCAGTAACAAAAGCATGACCTTTTGGGCACAAAACATTAGCGAACTAAAAGTAACGACAGCTAGTCAGAAAGGGAAGAAGGTCGTGCGGAAATCCGTAAAAATCAATTGCGGTTATCGTTACATGTAAGAATTGACACTGAGATTAACAAAACTAGGTAAAATGGGATCTTCCGAACAGAATGGAAACTCACGTATAGTCATGAGGTGTTTGTCCACATCTTGATTCCACTGCAAAGTAAAAACGTACACCTTGTAATTTATCAGTTTCTGCTTCACGTTTGCCTAATTTCCACTTCTAGATTTTTAAAGGAAACACAATAAATGAATGAGGTTATACAATAAAACGATAAACGAAAACTACATATAATAATTTACCAATATGCACCCCGTCAATATACAAATTTTATTAATGAATTAGACTAAAATGGTTAGATATGTTATGTATACCTAAGCGCTAACTATCTCGACGGACGATTTTGACTAGTGTAGAGGTAGATTGGAAGAAAGCAGACGGTGACATCATTTTATGAAGTCATTCACCGTTTATCCATGCCATGTTAACAAATCTAGGCCACCTGGTGGGGGATATGCACGATAACTGCAACTTGCATCCAGATGTTACGTGATATGGCTTAGAACCGCTCATAAAAGACCAGGTGCATACACTTTCTGTCTTATTCTAGATCTTTAGTTTCAGTATTCCTCTATAAAAACATTCGATCTTCAGTCTTTTTTATAATCATTTATGAATCATTTTAATTCCTTCTTGTTAATTTCACACTGTTGTGCTAATGTGTTATAGCAACTTGGACTAACGCATATTTGTGCCATACCCTAAGCTGATCGTGAGTGACTGATCATGTTAGCTACATATGTGTATTACACTATTAGGTAAATTTTTTTATCATAGTAAAGTTTAAGATTTCGGGGCAATTTTCAAACGGTTTAGTAGGTAAGGTGTACCATTTAAACTATGCAGCTTCATTTTACTGACCGTTGTTGCTACCTTGACGTGGTGGTCGGGCTTGCCTATCGTGATGAAGCAACTGAGCTATACTGGCTGGAACAACCGTTCCTCAAGGTCCTACCATGCCAGACAGGTCGGTTGAAGAGCGGTAAGACTAAAAGCAACAAAACCAAGGTCCGAAGGCGAAGTCGTACTGCTGACTGTACAGAGGTGTGACAGCAGTAAGGTGTTTCCTTCAGACAACCAGCATGACAGCGATGCTGCCTTCCCACAAGGAGGGGTGGGGTTAGAAAAGGTCGACCCTAAAAATGCACACCTCGCCTTATCCCACGGATATCCGTCTCCGGCGGTAAGGTCTCAACAAGTGCGGAGCTAACACAAAAATCACTCATAAAAAGGTCGTGTGTGACCGACCTCAAGCAGCTGTCCCTTGGGCACTGCGGTCACGCTCTCAGGTCACTAAGACCACCTCTAATCCAATTTCCTTTTCAGGTACCTCCAGAAGAACCCTTCCACGGTGTGGGAAACCGGGAAGTGATAACCGCCCTCATACCTCTAACAGCACTCAAGACCACTGTATTCATAGTCAACCTCCCTCTTCAATTCCTATTATTCCTCCCAAATCGACTTTATACACTAAACTTCCTCTTTTAGCTTCCTCCTCAAGTGTCACCACAACCAACGATTCTAGTGCTCAAAACACTGTCCCAGGTCTACTGAAACCTCGCTCCAAACTATACATTGGAGCCTTCAACGTACGCACACTATGCCAAATCGGTCAGCAGGTTTCCTTGGCTAAAACCTTAGAATCTCGTACCATTGATGTATGCTGTGTCTCCGAAACACGCATACAGGATCCTAATGTGGTCATTCACTTGACCTCACCTCGGCAAAACGGAGAGCCAACGAGATACACCCTCCGTGTATCTGGCGACTCGATGGCTAGTTCTCGTGGACTGGCAGGTGTAGGCATAGCACTTAGCATGAGGGCGGAACAAGCGCTATTAGAGTGGATCCCCGTTAACAGTCGTCTATGCGCTGTTCGGCTAAACGGCTCCGTAAGAACTCGGAAGGATAGGGACACACGTCGTTGCCTTTTCGTCGTTTCTGCCTACGCTCCCACTGACTGCAGTGCGGATGAAGTGAAAGATGAATTTTACAGAAAGCTGTCTGAACTTCTTCAGAAAGCTAAACGTTCAGACATAGTACTCGTAGGAGGTGACTTTAATGCCCAGGTAGGTAGCCTAAACAAAACAGAAAGACATTTAGGTGGGTATTTTAGTATTCCGGCACAGCGAACAGATAATGGTGATCGTCTGCTGCAACTGTGCTCAGACAATCGTTTATTTTTAGCAAACACAAATTTTAAGCATAAGGAGAGACATCGTCTAACATGGCGACCCCCTGCACCAAACCAACGATGGACTCAAATAGACCATATTGCCATCAGTCATCGTTGGAGAGGGTTAATAGAAGATTGTCGCTCATTCTGGGGTACCTGCTTGGACTCTGATCATGCCCTAGTACGAGCATGCATCTGCTTGCGCCTCACTGGACGCAAAAGAGTCACACAAAAAAGACTCATTAGAACCGAATTGAGTAATGAGAAAGCCAAAAGTAGGTTCCAGGAACAACTGAGGTCACACTTAGGTAGTTCTGAAAACGAGACTGACCCAGATGTTGCTTGGAAAGTTATACAAGCAGCTGTGGAAACAGCATTGACATCTACCAGTGATTTAAACCAAATGGTTACAAAAAACCAATGGATTTCGTCAAGGTCTATTGCACTGATAGATTCTCGCAAACTCATCTCATCAGGTTCTAAACACGATGAAGAGCGTAAAGAAATCAAATCTAGATTAAGCCAAAGTCTAAGGAACGATCGTGAGCAGTGGTGGGCGACGAAAGCAAAAGAGATGGAAAAGGCGGCGGCTATAGGGAACACAAGACAACTCTACAGACTAATAAAAGAAACTGGAATTAATAAATCAAGTGTAAGTCAGACCATTTCGGAAAAAGACGACACTCTCATCTGCTCCCAGTCCAGACGCTTAGAACGATGGGCAAAACACTTTAAGGAGCAGTTTAGCTGGCCTTCAGCTACTCTACAACTACCCTCTATTCCCAGACAGTGTGAATGGAACATTGAAGTAGGTCTCCCATCCCTAGCTGAAGTTCAAAAGGCTATAGCTAATCTGAAACGAGGAAGGGCAGCTGGTCCAGATGGATTGGCCCCAGAGGTCTTTAAGGATGGTGGTCTAGTCTTAGCGATTAGGTTGACTAATATTTTAACTAAAATCTGGGAGTTAGACGTTATCCCATCTAACTGGTCACAATCACTTATCGTCCCAATATTTAAGAAAGGGTCAAAATCATCCTGTGACAACCACAGAGGGATTAGTTTAACTAATATAATATCTAAAATACTAGCTTCGATAATTTTCGGACGCCTAACTAAGACTCGTGAGCTGCAAACACGTGAAAATCAGGCTGGCTTCAGACCTGGTCGTGGCTGCATCGACCACATATTCACCGTTCGTCGGGTTCTAGAACACAGGCATACTTATCGGCGTCCGACAATGGTGGTATTCCTTGACTTAAAAGCAGCGTTTGACTCTGTTGACCGAGAGGTTCTGTGGCAGTGTCTGTCATTGAAAGGCGTACCTCAGAAGTACATAAACCTCTTTACTCGAACACTACTAGTAGAGTCAGAGCTTATGGTGAACTGTCATCTGCTTTTGCAACCTCAAGTGGCGTCCGTCAGGGCTGTCCACTTTCTCCTTTTTTGTTTAACTTTATCATAGACATCCTGATGGAAATATGCCCCCAAATGCCCTGGTACGGCCCAGAGTGGGGGGAGTCCGCTCTCCCTCTCGAAATGCTCTCACATGGCCACGCGTATACAGTCACTGCCAGGGAAGTCCTACTCACTGCATTCTCGTGGCGGGGGGGTTGTTTACAAAAATGAGAGGACGAAAAGCGAATGTCCGGCACTTAAACCGGATCCCAAACCAATGGTGCACATGGGCTCCAGTATCCTGAAGGAACAAATGGCGTATGAACCAATCGTTGGTCACCGGCTACCATGGGACTGCATCTCCTCACGATGCTCCACTGCCTTGTGGATCAGATCTTCAGGTCGAAGGCTCGGGGTGTGGCCCCCTAAGAAAACCACCTGCTTCGGTTTGGGCACCCGGGCAGTATCCCAGCCCTCACACATATCAAATGAGATCTGTGTGGCGCATATGTATTTGGTGCCTTCTTGTACCGATATTTATGTGTTAAAATAAAATAAAATAAAAATGATGGAAATAACGCTCTCATCGACTGACTTCTCGGGTATTGATCTCCTACCAGGAGGTCCACTTATTGACTTAGAATACGCAGATGACATAGTCCTGTTTGGTGAAGACGCTGATGAAATGCAGAGTCTTTTGGTAGCACTGAGCAACAATGCTAGAATGTTTGGGATGCGCTTTTCTCCCTCTAAATGCAAGTTGTTGCTTCAGGACTGGTCTGCATCAACACCTGAACTAAGGATAGGGGGTGAAGTAGTCGAACGCGTTGAAAACTTCACTTATCTTGGAAGTCTGATCAGCCCTAATGGGTTGGTGTCTGACGAAATCTCAGCACGGATTCGAAAAGCTCGTTTGGCCTTTGCCAACTTACGTCATCTATGGCGAAGGCGAGATATCCGTCTATCAATTAAGGGACGAGTATACTGCGCCGCAGTTCGTTCCGTCCTTCTATACGGCTGCGAAACATAGAAGATATTCGTAAGTTACTAGTATTTGACCACAGGTGCCTTAGAAATATTGCGGGTATCTGCTGGGATCACCGGGTAAGTAATAGTGAGGTTAGACGCAGGGTATTAGGGAATGATGGTAAATCAGTTGATGAGGTTATGAATCTTCATCGACTGAGATGGTTGGGCCACGTGTTGCGTATGCCTGAACACCGATTACCACGACGCGCAATGCTGACTAGTGCAGGGGATAATTGGAAGAAAGTTAGGGGCGGCCAAACCAAAACGTGGCATCAGTGCTTGAAGTCACTAACTTCTGGTTTGAGCCATGTTGGTAGATTCAGATTGCCTGGTTGGGGTCAGCGTGACTATCGTAACCAATGTTTGGAGACTCTTGGTGACATGGCTCAGAATCGATCACAAAGGCGTCGGTGTATACACTCTCTGTCTTCCTTAAATTAAGAGATTAAAATCGCTTCATATCTGTCTAGGAACTAATTCTTTCTTCCTTTACTATCTCCTTATACACAATCTTTCTTCTATATATTACCACCACTGAATTAACTACTTCTATGAATCCGGTGTTCATCTTGTTGTGCTAATGCGGTATGGCAACTTGGACCGATGCATATACGTGCCTGGTCCTACGTTGCAGCTGACTGACTGACTGACTGGATATGATTAACATTTATACTGACTAACTATTAACTAGTGAGCGGTAAGCAATGTAATGTTTGTTTAGTCTTATGTTCTAATCAGATTTTACCAATCAAGTTGAAGCAATTTGGCCACTACTCTAAGTGACTGAACATCGTGTGTACTTTGTTTAATGCTAGGTGATTAATGACAATCAATAAAATTTACGGAACTGGGATTCGTGCTAGTTTTAACATTAACAAAAGGAGGAAGAAGATACGAATCCAATTTCGTGGTTAATAAAATTGTTCCACGACTTATGGAGTAGGACACTGAAGTTTGAAGTACTGACGTGATCCCTCCTATAAGGGGACCCCATCTTTGATTCGGGTGACTGGTCACATGCAATGCAGAACCTGATTCAGGTGCATCAGTTCAAGTTGTCATACGACTAGTGTGGATAAAATAATCTCAAGACAAATTACGGAGTAGCAGAAAAAGCAACACTATAAGTGGTACTAGAATAAATTAGGTACACAAGAACAAGAAAAGTTAGATTTCAAGATTCACGAAAGATAAAGAGCATATGCACCCCCACGATTGTGAACGATAATGATTCACATTACCAGTAGTTATAATAATCACAATGATACCAACCACATCGGCTACACCTATCAGCATGGCTCAGTCCAATTGTCAACGACTTCGTAGATTGATTCTACCTTTCTTTCAGTCTACTCCCACACTACACAACATCACCTGTCAAGGTAGATGATGCTTGGGCAAACGTAAGACGTACCCCTACCATCTCAGTTGATGAATATTTATTACCTTATTTATCGATCTCCCACACTTACCTAGTACCATATGCCTAACCTCGACATTGCTTATTACTCTATGGTCCCAACATCTACGAGGAACCCCTAGAAGACGTTCATAATTGAATACTAGTAAACTACAGATATCCTATTTCCATAATGGCTGTTTCATATTCATAAAGTAGAACAAAGTGAACGACTGCACACTAAGCTCGCCCTTTGATTGGTAGACGAATATCTGGCATATACAACAGTAACGCACGCTGAAAAAGTTGGACGAGCTTTCTGAATGGTTTTAAAGACTTCGTTAGATGCTAATCCACTATAGTGGATGAGGCTTTTGAGGAAAGTCAAATGGTCGACACACTCAACTAACTCACTTTCTATTCTTGATTCAGTTGTCAACGCAGACCAGTTTTGAATCAACTTCTTATTTATTATTATTACCTTTTCGAAAAGACACACTATTTGTATGTATGTAAGACTATCATTTAGACAGAAGTAAATAGAAATCAGAGTTTGAGCTTGGAACCTAGTCAGTTGGAAATTTAAGTGCCTATAACCAATGAATATTCAACTCATTAAAACGATAAGAATATAAGAATAAATATCACTAAATTATGACATATATCATACACTTATTTCTAAATAATAATAAAAGGAATACATTATATACATCAACACAAGCTGACAAATCCAAGTAAGATGAGAAGCATACCATGGATCCCACTGCTTAGTCACAATTCACCTATGCTAAATAAAAATTGTGAATAATAGGTATATCAAGGCAATCTGCACAGGAAACATATAGTTCAGAGAAAATTGATCAAAAGATTGAGTCGTGAATATGAAACAACGGAATAATTCAAACCTTTACTACTTATAAATAAACTAGTCTACAATTCTGAAAAATAAATATAAATAATATCTAATGTTTATATACATAACGCACAATGATTTACCTTGAAATCAGTGCAAGTAAGAAAGTGCATAAATACTGAACTATGCGATACAACCGGATGTTTACACATACGAGTTAACCATTGTTGTAACCATTTACGACGTTCATCAACAAAGTCATCTTCATATCGACCTGATAATGAGGTAGCAAAAATAAGGTAATTGAGAGACATTTCAAGGTATTGAAATTATTGAAAGTTACATGTATTTAACAAGACACATAAGTATTTTCATCGTTACAGGAGTAAATTTAAAAATATAGTCATACATTAATGTATTTTTGACTAGTTGAGGAGTGAATCAATAATTACACAAGTTGATTTTCAACCAACAGCGTAAGAGTTTCGAGCCACATCTACCCTCTTTGGGACTGGTAGCCGGACAGGATCAGTAATCCTTTGAACGAACAATACGACTGAAAGCCGAGTGGATAAACTTCAATTTGAATTTTCATATGTCCCTTGAAAAGTACCCCATGATTGCTCACCCAATGAGACAGATATATCATTATGCATGTGAAAGACTATTTTGTATTATAAACTAATATATTCATTCCTCACTGTGCAATTGTGTCGTATTGATAACCAAATTTTGAGTGACTGACTTCACGTGACTAGTCCACATTCTTATGTGCAAAATCAGAGCTTCTTCAGTAATATAATAAAAAGAAGATTTCAGTTGTTCAGCTAGCTGGTTTCTAGAGAATTCGACACAATTTACGAGTCGTTTTAATTACACACTAATGTCAGTTATTGTTGTTGAGAAATGAAAGACGGATTACTGAAGAGTTCAATTATTAAAACGAGTCAGTCAGTCGCAACCTAGAACCTGGTATATATGTAAATTGATTCATTTCGTCATACTTCGTCAGCAAAGAGTGATGAATTCGTCAGGTCAAATCCCAGAATATATAAATTAGCGTAGTAAGAAAAAAAAAGTTATGATAAATCTAGAATCTCAGGATCTGGAGGAAAATTTAAAAAATAACGAAATAACTGTATAATATTTCTTGGATTGCAATCTTTTTCCACTACATACATTAATTCATACTGAAATACTACCGACCAAAAAAAGTCGGGAAATTGTGCATCGTTAACAATTTTAAAAATGTATATCGCAGTTATAAACTTTAACAAAATACCCAAATAAACAATTTATTAGTATGAAATTTATAGAGAACTAATCAGTTTTAAATACTTCAGGATAATAATAATAACTTTGATTAATGATAATAATACCCAATGAGTTGTGAACTCTGTTATAAATATGACAACGCATAAAACAAAGATGATTACAGAAGGATAAGTAAGGAATTATTGCTGATATTAAGGGCAGTTGTAGGAAGCAAACGAATAATAACAATACTTCAATGTTAATGGATTGATTTCAACCAAAAGAAAATTACAATTGGGAGATACGATTGTAAAATGGTTACACACACACAAAAGCATCCATCAAACGTAGGCGACTCATTGTGTTATTGAAGAAATAAAAACAATTCAGAGTAGAAAATATGCTTTTCAACCAGATCGTTTACTGAAGCTGAATAATCGCTTGCATTTCTATAGTTTACATCATGAACTGGATTGTAGTTAGACAACCCCTGCAAACCAAGTACTGGTCTAGAGCTTAAACGTTCGCAGAGATAGGTCCTGAGTCTGACTACGGTGGGGCCATGGCTGTGCACTAAGGAGCCCTGTACTAGAATGAAACGGCTGTTTAGTACTTTCTGGCTTTTGAGATCCGTCTACGAAGTAAATTTGAAAACATACATAGTAGTCGATTAAAAAACAAGAAATTACATCGCAGTGTTATGAAACTTCAAGTATCACAAGGTGGTTGCGAGATGGTTTAAATAATGATAAATTCCCATTAAAGAAACGCAAAACGCGATGATCACAAAAACTGAATAATAAACATGAAAAATTGAAAGAGGGTAGTAACGGCTGATTAAAAAAGACATAGAAACGGACTACGACAAAGATTGAACAAGTGTTTACATAGATTTTGGGCCTCATGTTTTTGCATTCACCAAGTGAAAAATAGGTAACGTCTTGAAATCCTGGTTCACAAATTACCCTTCAGACCAGTGTCCAACCATTTTTACCTGAACACTTTACGATGTAATTTCTTCTTTTTCAATAGGCTACTATATACTTTTAGTAGTTTACATTAGGAACTGATCTTATTAAGGCCACCAACAAAAACCTGGAAGCACTGAATAGGTTTCGTTCTGGTATGGGACTCCTCAGCAGTGTGGAAATTCTAAAATCTCTATAAATATTCTTACACTAATGATAACCATTTGTTCACTAGTGACTGGATTCAAAATGCGACTATTGGAGTTCTAGTGAGAGGCCGTAACCAGTGGGTTTCATTTGTCGGGTGTGAGGCAGTTTTATCCACTGAAGGCAATGGATGAGCGTCGTGCAATATCGTGACCTGATTGGAGTTGGACCTACAATAATACCATTCGATGCCATCTCAGTGGTTTAGAGATTAAGAGCTCGCTTGTAAGACCGAAAGTTCTCGGTTCTATTCACAGATTTATTTATTAAATCACCAAAAATACAACTAATCGTACATTTTCCGTAAATATCACTGAAAGAAAAATTTTCTTTGCTGAATTGTTTTTATTTCCTTTGCAAATATGAAGTAGTTTATTTCATCCATGAGCACCGAAAGGCATGAAGCATGCTACATACAAATATGTGCATTTTCTCGAGTGGAAGAGTTAATTTTTTACAAAGGATGAAAGAATAGGAATCTGCCCTTTTCAGAAATCATTGCCAAAAAGTTTTATTTTACAGTTTCCCACACAATAATCAAAATTTAAGGATTCAGATCAATAAGGAAAGGAAGGAAGTTACAATAAACGGATCTTATCTGTTGTGAACAAACATCAGTGTATCCGTACAATGATTTAGCATGAGATTGTGTCTGTAATTCAACGATAAATTAATCCTCTGGAAATCTATTTACAAACAATGACAGTAACAGAAGTAAAAAAGCAATCATAGTTATTTCAAATGATGACTATGAAAATGACGTAATTGAAAATCATGTTCATTATTCAACTAATGACAATTGACATACACAGGATAAAGTATACGTACAATTTCCATCATCGTTTGGTATGAATTGGGCACCTCAAATGTAACACATAGTGACTAAATAGAGATCCTATGGCTTAAAGAATTGGAACCATACATTTTGTATACAGGCTAGTGCTAATATTAACTTGCTTGAAGAAATCTGAGAATGAAGAGCTTAGTCTTAGGCCAGTCAGTCAGTTGCAGCCCCCAAATGCCCTGGTACGGCCGAGAATGGGGATAGTCCGCCACGCGTATATAGCCTCTGCCAGGGAAGTCCTACTCACTGCCTTCTCGTGGCGGGGGTGTTGTTTACGAAATTGAGAAGACGAAAAACGAAACTCCGACACTTTGACCGGGTTGGTGGACATAGAAGATCCACCTAGGGGGGTTGGGAAACCCTGATTCCAAACCAATGGTGCACATGGGCACCACGACCCTGATGGAACAAATAGTGTATGAACTCATCGTTGGTCACCGGCTACCATGGGACTGCATCTCCACTGCCTTGTGGACCAGATCTTCAAGTCAAAGGCTTTGAGTGTGGCCCCTTAAGAAAACCATCTACTTCGGTCTGGGCACCCGAGCAGTATCACAGCCCACACACAAATCTGATGGGATGATAATTATTTCACGAAATACTATGCTTGCTCCAATCAGAATTCAGATATTTTACACTCACTTATTAATATTATTATTACTATTTTTTATACACTACGTCACTTATCTACCTTTATTCTCACTTCACGTATCCCAATTTTTCAACTTACACAGCAGCTCGCCCGTGGTGGAAACTCTGTTCTACCTAAACGTTCTGGAGTCACTACCTGGTCGAAAGTTGAATGCTTCCACCGAATACGAATACTGAGATGACAGTCAGTTGCAACAGACTGGATCCAACAGTTAATTGTTGAATATCCACTTAGTCATCCCTTCAACTTTTTACATGTGAAAATACAAACCGTAAACATTCTTTTTTGTTCGAATCATTTTCCAAGTAATTATCTTCTTTTTTTTCAGTCAAATCGAATCTATTAAGCGTTAGGTAAATTTATCGAAAGGTAACTTGTGTATCATATCAAAATTATTAAAGTTTAATTAAATTAAATGAACAATAATGAGAATGAAAAAAATAAACTAAATATGTTTAGTAAAAAAGATGTACAGATAAACAAATCAACAATATTAACAAACTATTCAGTTGAAAAATATGATGATGTAAGTAGAAATGTTTGTATATAATTAATTATATAATAATTGACAAATAACTTAGATGGTCAATTTATTTTCATTGAAAATTCATTCAATAAATAATAAGTTTCCATATATATATATATATATATATGTATATATAATTGGGTATGTATTGTTGTCCTAGTTTGGACAACACATCATGTAATTTAAATTACTTAAGAAAATAACAATATGTAATAAACAGAGAAAATTGAATTATTAATTATTCGTTGTAGTTGTATAGCTTCATATATAGATCTGAGAAAACTAATCATTTTCACTGTATTACAAACTATAAAGCAATCAGGTTGAGAGTGGTAGAAATAAGATATAATTTAAACTAACAATTGTCTATGCCGATGTCATAATTTCAAATCCTTGTCATGATAATGATTACATTAATTTTCAATTAAACTTTCATTATATATATATATATATATATATATATATATATATATATATATATATATATATATATATATATACTAGAGAACTACAGTACTTGATCTGATAGGTGTCCTTTAAACATTAGTCTATTCATGAAATCCTTATAACTATGCTTAAATTCAATCTTATTTACTTCTAACGGGACATTATATAAGCAAAAAAACGGAGTAACATCGAAATCCCCTGTATATATATATATATAATTTGAACCCAATTTTTAAATATTACAGCTTAAAGAGAACCAAACCAATTAAATGAATTCACAATATTCTGCTGATGTTTTTGATTTTACTCTTTGAAAAACGATGAAAGGGAATTATGTGCATGAAATACTTAGCTTATTTGTCAACAATCGGTAGCTTATTTTAGCTTACCTGGGCTCGTATTTTTTTCTACTCAAATGTGTTGGTTTAACAATTCTAAATAGTGATATAAAGCAAATAACAAGTGTATTCAAAGAAAACTATCAAGAAAAGTAGTTTATTTATGTGCTATTACTGTGACACTTATGATTAAGAGATTTGATTAATTTCATAAGAAAAACATCCTCCAGTGTATATGGTAAAAACACACAATGAATTAAATCATTCAATTTTAGTCTGTTGAATATCAATAGAGTAATATATCACAATATCTGCAACTGTTATGTTGCGACAAAAATGTGGATGATGAGTTGGGAAACCTTGTCATTTGACTGATGTTAAAAATACGAAGGATGAAGTGTTTTAATATAAATAGATAAACTGATTCTGACAAGCCTCATGTTCTGAGTATGATTTTCTAACCGTTAACTAAAGTATACAAATAAAGCGATTAGTCGAACATTCAACAAGTTTGTAAGTTACATATATATTATTACCTGTGATAGCTTTCTCCGGTAATGGTGGAATACAAATACATGGATATTTTGATAATAAACGGGAATGAAGCCAATCAAAATGTTTATATCTTCTACTGACTTGTGTTTGCGTAACCTATGTTTTTTTGAAGAACACATATAAACGAAAAAGTAGAAAATCTACACATGAATTAAACAAATCATTCACGACTCAGTAATCATTCAGCCATAATCAGAACAAACAGTTTGTAAAAATAAAAATGAAATGTGTACAAAACATGGTCCCAATATCTACGAGGAACCCCTAGAAGACATTCATGATTGAATACTAGTAAATTACAAGTGTCCTATTTCCATAATGGCTATGTTTCATATTCATAAAGTAGAACAGAGTGAACTACCGTGCACTAAACCATGTCAAGAAGCAACAACTAATCGACATTAATTAGGTACAGCCTAAGAATCTGATGTTAACGAAATGTATTGGAATAATGTATTTAGATCTCAACATCATTCCCTTGACACTCATCTTACTTATCATTCCAAACTACTGGACAATGTAACTGATAAAATTAATACGATAATAACGACAGGATTGTAATACAATTAAACAAAGAATAACAACTCCCCGTTTTCCCTTACACCTATACAAGTGTCTTGTACATAACTGAACATCAGAAGAAAATAGCTTTTCTTTGTCGATGTTTATAGAGAGACAGTCCTTTTGGCGCGATCGAATCGTCGTGAGATTATTTACATGTAACCCTGTAAAATGGTTCACAAATCGATGAGCTTGTGAACAAAAGCAAAATCGTGATGGTTGTATTTAAATCTCAGAAACCAGTTATACACTCCATAGTTATCTTTTTTTCCTTGACCCAACGTTTTTCATAAAGTTAGGAAGCAAGTCTATCTGGTATACTCTTCGAAGTGCTATTTATGGACATGTCTAACGTGAAAATCTACCATTTTTCCCCTTTCTAATGACCATTTCCTAAACCTCAAAGATCCTGTTAACGCACGTACCTCTGTTAAGATAATTGTACTGGTTACTGGGATTCACATAGTCCGGTTTGTGACTAAATGTGTTATTTGTATAAGTCACTTTGGAGAGAGTGAAGAATGAGTCAACCTCTCTTAAATTTCTGATAATGATACAAAAGCGGTATCGAAATATAACTTCATCACGTTTATGTTTAAATTCTAGTGGCTTTATTTATTGATTACAACAATATAAAATGGTTTTTATTATATTATCGTCAAGATTAAAATGCATTCGAGCAATAGTCATCATTCTTGTTTGAACTTACAGCCATGATACCGAAATCGCGTTCTTAAACTTGACTAATCCGCTCCTATACTTTATAGCTTTATCATACACACTTTCACTTTTCGAGTCACTTGTTAATCAAACAGAGTTATATACATATTTCGGGTAATTAATCAAACAGTCTATCGTCTGATTTCTGTGTGAGGTTATCCATTCGTTTCTCATTATCTAATAAGTGCGAGGTATCCAGCGTTTCCCAGTTCACCTAGTAGATGAATACTACCCATTAGTGTAATTTTCATTGGAGGTTTCATTTCAAGCATCCGCTCAGAATATGAAAGTTTTTGCATATCTCAACAAACAGGGTGGAAAACATAATACAGCTTAACATGAAATCTTAAGGGTGAATTACACACTTATGTGGAGTGTTCATCTACTAAATGAACGGAAAACTACAACGAAAATCGTGAATACCACACAGTTAATGAAGATTTTGAGGAAGTCAATGCACAACCTTACACTTATTCGTATTCCATTGTAAGTTATTAATTTTAATCACCTGTTTTCTGAGAGGTCTTCTTAACAGTTGCCCAAGTTCATTGCCCCCAATAAAATACCATAAGCATATACCAATTATCACTTGTTATGAAATATAGTGTTTTCAACAAGACGAGAAAGCTCAATTAAAAAATAAAATTCAATCATTATATGCTACATGCTTTAGATTACATTTATTATGTAACGACGTTCGGTGATACTAATTAGCCAGTCAAATCATGATAACAGAATTGGTGAAAACGAGCAATCAACCTATTGAGAACCAAACCTTTTTATTTCGTCATCTCGAATTATATTCTCAATGTTAAGATTTATCACTATTATTGATACTAAAATTACTTTAAATTCAGTTGTTACTCATCATGCTAACTTGATATCTTCCAATAGTGCTGATGTTGTATGGTAACTTGGGCTAACGGACACTTTTGTCCCAGACCCTACATTGATAACAACTAACTGACTAACCCATACATAATTCCGTATTTTAAAAAAAGTAACAATTTTACTGAATAAACCATATCTCTCTATGTGTACTAATACGTGTACATACCTTTGATAGTCCCACACATCCAATAAGTCTGTTTAGTTTGATTATTGAATAAAATCAATACATCGAAATAACATTTCAATGGAAAATAATATATATATATATATATATATATATATATATATATATATATATATATATATATATATATACGACAGGTTAGTCTCATCATTTCGGAACTCGAGATTAAGTTACACATTTGATTTTTGTGACTTGACTATTTTGGAATGCGTACTATGTATGCTTACGCACTTAAGAAATTGTTAGTATGAACTGTGTTAGTGACATATAAAATGTAAATGAATTATAGCACACGTGAGCGACAAAAATAAAAATATTAGTGCATATAAAACTTTATGAAGCATTGGTTTAGTGATTAAGCCACTCGGTTTACAATCAAGATTCTGGATGCAAACCTTGTTTCAACTAATTCAATTTGGTCAATCAGGTAGCTCAGGGCAACTTGTTTATCAAGAATAGGGAAGTACGTACCTAACTTTGAGCTGTACTTCTGAGTGACGCCCGTTGACAATTAACTGATCAATGAGTGGGTAGTGACTAATTTCACAATAGTTCACTAGTCATTTAGTGATAATCGAATTCTGTAGATAACGCTGGGAACTGTAGCCACGAATGTGACTTGATATCATGTGCAGTATGTTATGGTTGGAGTTAGTTGGCAGTAAACGCTGTCTGGCGTAAGCTTCATGCTAGCTAGTCAAGTAGCAGTAAAGTCTTAAGCTATGAAGCCGCATGAAGAAGATAGGAACTACAAAAGGAGAATCAGCTTCCTAAAATCTAATATGCTTTAATATTTTTACAGAGAATGAATCCGCGATTAGACAAGATGCTAAGACCAAAATAAAATTTCCCAAACACAATGTTATGTTTTTCTATTGTTTAGTATTTCTTGGACACAATACCTTCCTCCAGTCTTACCAAATCTGACTAAGATCTAAAAGGGAACAAAATATATGTATCATGATAATCCAAATAACAAAGAAGATACAATTGGTGAAAACATTCAAGATTGTACATAGTCTACATGAGAATGTTCTAGCACTTTTTCGATTCCTCCACTAGAGCTGAATGGTTGTAAATGGACCAAGTGAAGTACTTCAACTTAAGTCTGGTTAGAAAATACAACAATCAGAACTTTATACTGTCGAAAGTCACACTCACCTCTGTTTGATTACAATATGAAATGTTTCATTTCCGAGAGTTAGAACCATTAAAAAAATAAGTGTGATTCAGATACTCCATGTACAAACTTGTATGAAAAGCCAAACTAACTACATGAAGTTGTACGACAGGTTAGTTCCATCATTTCAGAGCTCTACATTAGGTTACACATATAATTTCTCTGACCTGACCATTTTAAAATTATAAGCAAACCATAAAAATACAACCTAGATAAAGAAACTAAGCATAACCAAGTGAGAATTCATGTATTCAATATAGTTATTCTTTTGATATATATATAATATTACATTATAATCGGAAAACCTACTGAATTAGTTATTTGATAAGCGATAAAACTTTTAATCCCTTTCATTTTTGAATCTTTACGAAACGATGAAATACAGCTAGTGAGATCTCTTGACAAATGACGCCATTGGAAAGAATCATCCACATACTAGAGTAGAAGAGCAGTAGCAGTAAATGGAATGAGGGTAAAATAAATGAAACAACTAGGTAATTAGACAGCAATAAAATACGCAATATATTTTATTTCAATCTATGAACAAGGGTTAGTTACTGTTGGTTTTCATCTTTTATGTGAACACCATGCACCAAATCTAATCAAATAACGTTAATCCAGAAACCTGAATTCGAATTACTTTTGTGGATGATGAAAACTTAATGCTAAATGTTTACTGAAAATTTAACATACGAATTTATATATTCTTAACGAAATATACGCAATAAAATTGTAAAATTCAATCTATCAAGTTTAATAGTAAAAGGGTTTTAAAGGTAACAAAATCGGAAATTAGTTCCTTATCATGAACTGACATTAGATAAAGAACTATTAGAATCCAAGGTGCAGTAAACAGATGTTTGACTGTCTTGTAATTCATCAATAGTGTATACAATGAAAGGCGCCACATACGTTCGGATTCGAGATTGTCTGCTGTAGTGGTGAGCGAGGTAACTTTAGATCACTGAGTTGGAATCTACAAAGTTGATATTCTTGACTTTATTGAGTTTGTAAAATATGATTATTCTATTTCGCTGGTGATAACCGCCTCACTTCCACCGTAAATTTACCAAAAAAAGACAGTGGTGCATTTGTATCATTTTTTGAAAGAAAACAATGTTAAAACAATCAGGCGAGGTAACTTTCAATGGCTAGAATAGACAAATATTATACAGCGTAAGACGTATTAAACTGGCATGTTGGTTCAACTTATCAATAAAAGATCTCAGTATGTGAAGTTGCGAGAGCTAGTTTTTACTTTATAAACATATTAAGCTCTGAACTATTAACAGAACTTCAAATGTCACGGACAACTAAACTATAAAATGAAAACAAGTTTATGTAACCAACGGCGGTATGTTTACAATCTATGAAAGAGATAAATGACGCATACAAATGTTTGCATGTTATGTTCTGATCTAACCAAGTCGCAACAGTTTGTACTCCGGTTCTAAATCAACTGACATCGAATGTAATTGACAGTAAGTGATCACTAACCTACGTAGCTAAGCATGTAGAAACTAGTTCAATTAATAAGTCATAGTTACATACATCGGACTTTAACAGTTTACAAGGAGGATAAAAATACACAGAAATATTTTCATTATTACAATTAGTGTTTCCTAAACTTTTTTATAAATTTATACTGCTGATTGTCAGCATTCTTAATCTAGCAAGTACATTTTATAGGAAGCGTAAAACAGTTAACAGTATAGTAGAGACTATGAATGCCCCCAAATGCCCTGGTACGGCCGAGAGTGGGGAGAGTCCGCTCTCCCTCTCGAAATGCTCTCACATGGCCACGCGTATATAGCCTCTGCCAGGGAAGTCCTACTCACTGCATTCTCGTAACACCGGTGTTGTTTACGAAAATGAGAGGACGAAAAGCGAATGTCCGGCGCTTTAACCGGATCCCAAACCAATGGTGCACATGGGCTCCAGTATCCTGAAGGAACAAATGGCGTACGAACCAATCATTGGTCACCGGCTACCATGGGACTGCATCTCCTCACGATGCCCCACTGCCTTGTGGGTCAGACATTCAGGTCGAAGGCTCGGGGTGTGGCCCCTTAAGAAAACCACCTGCTTCGGTTTGGGCACCCGGGCAGTATCACAGCCCTCACGCATATCAATTGAGATTTGTGTGGCGCATATGTATTTGGTCTCTCTTTGTACCAATACCTATGTGTTAAAATAAATAAATAATAAATAAATAGAGACTATGAATAAACGGTTTGAGCATAATATGAATGAATTTTGAAATGTGACAATAGTTAGGAATTATGTCTAGGGTTAGAATTATAACTGAGTTGTGACCTGTAAGTTTTTTCAACAAATCCCACCCCTAAAGAGAACCATACTAGGACGAAACCAACATTCAGTACTTCCGAGTTTTTAATGGAGGTCTAGTTAAGAAAATTTTGCGATTCAAACTACAAAAAGTTCTACGCGCCCATGAATCCCCCTACACTAACGACAGCCATGTGTTCACCAGTAACTACATTCTCGATGAAACGCATGTAATCCTAGAGAGACGTATCGACCAGTGGAGTTCAATCATGTCGGGTGTAAGACACCTATCAACCGTAGATAATGGAAGGTGGTTGCGGAATGTCATGAAGTGATTGGAGCTAGACAAACATTAACACCACTGGATGTTGGCTCAATGACCTAGAGATGTTGCTTTCACGAGCAAGAATGAAGGTCCCGAGTTTGATTTTCTGTAGTGAGGTCGTGGAGTCCCATACTAGGATGCAATGGCTGTCCAGTGATTACGGCTTTTCAATGATGATCTAGTTAGATTCAGTGTAATTTAAATAATAAAAAACCAATATATCACAGAAATCTATTAAAAACTAGATAGATGTTGTGTATTAGTTGAGAATGCCTAGAAAATCTACATCCTGGACTCGGGGATTTATCGGTCATGTAGCAAGCACGTTAACATTTAACAACTCAGTCATGAAGATCAACTTTGAAATTCTTGATTACTAGATGGTTTCTGAATTTTTACACTACAAACAAATAAATTCGATGCATGTATACAACACCAAACGACATATACCACCCAATTTGATACTATCAAGACACCCTTACATCTTACATTTTGACGCTGAATTTGAAAATGCAAACTAGGTTTGGAAGTTTATTTCTTAGAAAGCATAAAAACAAATTGAAATATAGCTCCATTACTTATCAACTGACATCGATATTAGCTTCAGTTTGAGGAAAAGGTGGTGGATCGAGACCCAACAAAAAATCTTCACAACCATTACGGATGAATGATCTATGATGAGATCAAAAAAATGTTAAGATGAAAATGAGAAAAAGTATAACAGCTTTCATATTGTTATAATGCAAAGACTCAGTAGATCCAAATGAACACATTTTTAATCCAGATAGAATCAGCTAGCACAATCTTAGCTAAAACTCACTGATATATAATATATGACAGTACAATTTGTCCGGTCAACTGAACCGTGAGTTTCACTGAGAAATTATTACAGTATTTAAAAAATACGTTGGTATTTAAGTCGATAACCAAAGAATCGATTGATGAATGCGTGAAACAAATGCAAAAGAATGATGCACAAATTGGACTACGTCATAATGTGTTGTTTACGATTATCACGTGGATCCAAACCAGGTGGTCTACAACTATTAACGTGGCTCAATCCAGTTGTCAGTGGCTTCATGAACTGATGCTATATTTTGGTTTGGTTGCCCCTAACTTCCTAACAGCCTACTCCTACACTACAAAACATGGCCCGTGGAGACAAGCGTTCAGTAAGCATACGCGACATATTTCCCAGCTATCTCAGTTGATGAAGATTTACTACCTCATTGACTGATCTCCCATCCTTATCTAGTTTCCTAATCCTAACCTCGACATCACTTACTCGGTCCCAAATTACACGAGTGATGCTTTGAAGACATTCATGATCGAATACTAGTGATCTACGAATATTCTCTATTCTGAATGACCATATCTCAAACCCATGAAGTAGGACGGAGCAAATTCCTGAGCAGTAAATTCGTCCTTTGATTGAAAGACAGATATCTCGCCCATCCATAAATGATGCAAGTTGGGAAAAGGTAATCGAAACTCGTGAATCCGTGACGAAATTTTGTCGGACACCACCAGACTATCAGGACTTATGAGACTCCCCAGGTAACTCAAGCTATCGACACGTTCAGACACCTCATTCCCTATCATTAATTCAGTCCGATGACCCAGCAACACTTTACACTTGGACGGAGAGAACAGTACCTCAAACATGTTTGCATTGTTCATTGAAGTGGTCTAAAGACTATATTTCGTCAGCATCATCAAACAGAACTATATCATCTGCGTATTTCAAATCAACAATTGCATCTCCTAGTGGGAGATCAACACCTGAGAAGTCAGACGATGGAAGTGTTATCTCTAGAAGCGTATCTATGACAAAGTCAAATAAGAATGAGAAAAGCAGACAACCCTGACTAAAGACACTTGAAATAAGCAATTCCAATGACAGTTCGCCAAGAGTTCTGACCCAAGTAGTAATGTTCGAATAAAGAACCTGTAGTGTTGACGTACATTTTTGGTACGCCATCTAATAGTACACAGTTGCGAAATCTCACGACCAGCAAAGTTAAGTGATCCTTTAAGGTCAAGGAATACAACTATAGTCGGACGTCGGAAAGAATGTCAAATTTCTAGGACCTAGCGAAGGGTGAATATTTGATCGATAGACTCATGCCCAGGTCTGAAACCAGAATGGATTTCTCGGGCTCACCCTTCACGAGTATTAATTGTCAGACTATTGTTGAGGTTATTTTAAATACAATGCTAGTCGAATTGATTCCTTTATGATTATTACACTAGGACTTTTGTCGTCTCTTACGGGCTGAAACGATCAGTCAAATGGGATTACATTCTAATCTAAGATTCTAGCTAAGATCTGTCACTAACTGCTAAAACTGGACCACCATCCTCAAAGCTTTCAGGGACTACTCCATCTGAGACTCCTGTTCTTCCTCGCTTTAGGTTACTTATAGCCTTTTCAACCTCACTTATAGTTGGAGGACATGTCGATTCGACATTTAGATTGCTTGGAGAACGTGGGTCACTAAAGTGTGGCTGAAGGCCACTTGAACTGTTCCCGAAAATTTCTATCTATCGATTCAGTCTCCTGGATCGAGAGTGAATTATAGCCAGATGATTTTATTAGCACGCACACAAAAGTGCAGCTCAAAAGTGAGTACACAAATTTCATTAAGATCATTTATCTCACTCACTCATGGACTTTAAATGCAAACCCCTCATTCTTCCAAACTGCATATCAAAGACTACTGACCTTGAAGATATCCATAATGACTTTGCTCGGCTAAAACTTTTGGGTGATAAAGATCTTAACTCGAAATTTAATTAACATGAATTCTCTTCAAAATCTGTACACAGAGACATTGAGTCAGTACATGATCAAATGGAAGTACATTGAAGAGTTGGAACTAACCTGTTAAAAAACTTTCGTATAAGTGTGTTGCGTACGTAATCAACATTATTAGACGCTGACAGAAGGGGGTCCGTCTGTTTGCCTCCGGTTTGCGACGTACTGCATTCAACTGGCTGATGATATCGGTCATTCGAGTTTTTGTTCTACACGTAAAGAGCAAAAGCGTGATTTAAATTGATTCCAATAGCTTAACCAAGAAAAGCAACATTGGGAAAGGCACTTGTTTTGTGTAACTTTCATGACACGAAAACTCCATAAGCATTATTACACACTTTTATTGTGGGCGTTATCTCATACATGATCTCTGATTTGCAAGGCCCTCAACTCAAAATAGGAGGTATGGACCTAAACAGCTGGTTCACACAATCACTTATCTGCCTTGGAGATTGGTCTAATCTGCCTATCAAACCCTTAACGAATGAAATGTGTAGTGTTGGGCATGGCAGGCTATTTTACGTTAAGGCACGTCTTTCTGCTAACTTGTTATATTAAATCTACGAGTTATACATAACAAAAACCCATACATATGACAGTGAATGATATGAAAAGTTAGCTAAGTAACTTTGCATCCTCGACTTTTACCGATTCACTAACTTATGCCTATGGAATGTTGACGAAACGTCAAATAATTAACATACCGAACTGGGAAGATCATTTTCATCACTATCCCACTCATCATCCCATTCATCACAGCGATCAATCTCCTTCCCAAATTCGGTAGTAGGTAATGGAGGAGGTGGGGCTGGTGGTTCTGGTAACTCAATAATTTCAACAAATTCTGATGGAATGAGACCTTCTTTTCCAAATGCATTGACTGCTTGCCACCACCCTGACCCGACATTTTGATTTGTAATTGTGAGTTCCTCTCCAGTACAAACAGTTAATTCACCACTCCATTGAGCGACAAAGTCGTAAATCACACGCACCTTCAGAATTTTTATCCGAGACTAAAACAATATCTCACCTTCATTCCAATGCCTATAGAATACAGGTGGACATAAAACGAAAAGCGCAGTTAGTAAATCAAGTAAAGTAACGCTTCAGGGGGTATTGTCCACTGAAGGAGGTTGCGAGCACTTGAAGGTCAAACTGTCGTAAGATGATTGGTGCGTCACATCGACAATTCGTGAAGTTTTTCAGAAGCGGTCAAATCAAGACACTTTTGGATTTGAATCCAGTTCAGCTACACTATGTCTGGTAACATCCATCCTTCAAGTAACGAAAGTTGTGCCATGATAATGATCCATAGTATAGGACAAATCTATGATAATCATTTTCAGTTTGTAAAGGACAGAAGGCTTGATGGCCTGTATTAACCCTAGCAATGGTGGTCTCTCAGTTGATCCAACTTTCTTTTGAAAGAGTCGACGGACGGAGCTTCAACCACGTGCTGAGGTAATGAATTCCAGTCGTTGATGATCCGATGGGGAAGCAGCTAGCTCATGTCTGGTAAATGATACTAACTCACTTGAGCGTGTTCAGCGTGTGGGAATGAAATTAGTGAAGGGTCTTTCTAAACTGCTTTACGATGAGCGTCTAAAAAGCCTAAACCTTTTCCCCTTGTCGTACAGTAGGACTAGAGGTGACCTTATACTGGCATTTCGGATCTTTAATTATTATTTGGGTGTTAATATGTCTTATCTTTTTGCTCCCTCCAGCACTAATAATCTCCCAGGTCATAGCAAGAAGGTTCATAAACCGCGATCTAATAAACTCAAAGTGGGGTTCCGTTTTTCTCGTCGAGCAGTCAATGATTGGAACGCCTTGCCCGAACAAGTGGTATCAGCCCCATCAGTGAATATTTTCGAGGAGAAACTGGACCTTCACTGGAAGGCAGTCTGTTAGGATTAACACAGGTTCACCAACCTACTATCCTTATTACTGAAGACTGATAGTCAGCTGACAAGTAATTTGTCCTGGACTCATGAACTTTTTTGGAGTGTCCTCGTAAATTCTCTGTTTTGGAAGACAAGAAAAATGAGGGCATATCAGGTGCAAATTTATCACTAAGCAATTTGAAGACTGTAGTCAAGTCGCCTTTAGTTCTTCGATATGACAACGGGAATATGTTTAACTTGGCCAGTCGAGCATCATACGGGAGCTTCGTTATTCTGAGAATCAGCTTAGTTGCTGTTCTCTGCCTTTACGAAAATTTTTTTTAAGCAGAGGCTAGCTGCTTGTATGCAGCTTTCAAGTTTAGGAAGTACAAACACTGTACATAAAGTTAAGAACGTTTTTGCGTGGACATGACTAAAAGCCCCACGTATCGACCAAAAAGTTCTGAAACCTTTGGCGACTATTGCACGGCAGTGTGCAGTAGTCTTTAAGTCTTGGCTAACGATGACTCCTAAGTCATTGTGTGTCTGGACAACAGGTTCCAAAAAGTCAATAATTTTATAATTCGCGCTCTATTTAAAGCCGACAGTGGTACTATTCCTCGTTGAGTTAAATTTACTGCTTTCGCGGTAAACTGCGCAGCAGAACTACTGTGTACACTTTGATTGAATTCATTTCAGTTAAAGTGATACTTTACTTATGTGTATTGACTTTGCATTTTTGTATTTATTGCATCAAATAATACTCGGTCGACTTTGACTTGATTTATTCGGTTAAAGTTTAGAACTTTTTCGTATCCATTTTCGTGTTGCCATTTTTAGTTAATTTTTAAGACGGTCGGCTCTGCTCACAAATGTTGACAGCCATATTGCTTATTACGTGTGGAAGAAGGGATGCATTGTGATGAGTCTAAGAAATGGTTCTATGAGATATGTACCAGCTTAGATCCCAGTGCCTATAAAGGGTGCTCAGAGCCTAACTTACATTGGTTTTTTATGTCACGTTATTCTAGTAAAACACTATACATCCTAGAGGCAATTAGCTTTCTGGCGTTAGCTGAGGAAAAGGCTTACGAGGCTCGTATTGGTAACATGGGTACTGATAGCGAAGAATATGTCAGTGTCGTAAGTGCTGTAACGGCACTTGCCAGACACCCGACTGTGCAACACGCAACAAGGTTTTCTATCCCGAAACAATTAATGAATTATACGCTAAGAGATACTGATGGCCAAGTTGTTACTGCAGCGACAAATGACCTAGACAAAACCATCATCTTCCAGAGTAGTTCCAAGGTGGATGCTGCGACTGATGAGAAATGAATGACGCGGAAACATGGAAGAGAAGAAAAGATAGCCAAAAATAGCTCCCGTTTAGTTGAAAAGTCCATGGTGAACTCACATTCTGCGTTGCAGACCACTACACCGAAGTCCTAAAGTATGACATTGCTTAACCCTTACGTAGATGGGAAAAGTTTAGTCCCATCAAACATTGTCCTGAGTCATTCGCTCGACTCCCATCACCATATTACGGCAGAAACCAACGGTAATATGCCAGGGGTTAACAGGTAGGGTCTAAAATCACGTCGAAAGCCGTGAAGACGACTTTCAATGAAGATAAACGCGTTCCTAGTTTAATTATTTGGGACCTAGGGAAGTCAAAAGACAATAACTCTGCTAAAAGACACGCATACGACCAAGAGTTAGTAGTACCAGTCATCAGAAATGTACAGCCTGAAGAGGTTTCAGGGGTACATATCACGAAAGTAATAAAACCCGATAAATGGTTTGGAGGAGAGATTCAACCAAGGAGGGTCTTAACGTTGATACTCGCGAATTTTGAAGACAGAGATGTAATATTAGATAACGTATACGAAACTCGGGATTCAAATATTTGCATCCGACCAGACTTTCCGCTTTAGGATGGAGTCAATCGGAATAATGTCCTTACAGAGTTAAGAACTCTAAGGCTAAATGACGAAGTGAACCTGTGGTGACGTTAGGCCCTAACCACACAATCCTCAAAGCTGAACAGGAGACAACTGGAAAAATACATATTTCACATTTAACGCAGAGAAAAACCCAACAACGGATAAGGTGGGAACAGTGAGTTGAGTTAATTCGAATTGATCGGACGGCATGGCTCGGCCTTGCAGACGTGGTCACTCTTGAGTGTTATAACATAACCTTTTATCCATATTAAACATGTTGTTCTATCTCCAGCCTAAATTTGTTCTTCATCATATAGTGATTGTTACGATATGATGAGTTGGTGTAGGCAATGATGTTATTTCCACGTAAGATCTTATAGATTAGGCAGTTACATTACGACATATCTACAATTTTAGGATAAGTTCAATTATTAGAGCAGTACTAATAACGAAATATATCATAATTCTACAAACCTTACGATTAGGCGTTTTCGGGTGGTCAGGTCTTCGAAGCATTGGCTTCAAAAACACCTTAAAGGTGTACTACACGAACGCCCGTAGTCTTCGTCATAAGGCGTCCGAGCTAAGTTTGGTGGTGAATAAGTTAAGTATTGTTACAAATACTTGTCCCAATCACACCGAGATACTGGCCATAGGATCCGTACATGTGACTGAAGAAACTGCTTTTCCATTGATCACTAACCTCAAACCTTGTAACATGCTGGACCCTCACGGGTTACACCCACGACTGGTGTCACCTCCTTCATACATTATTTCAAGGCCGCTCGAGACGCTTTTCAACATGTCCTTTTATTAACTCAGAGATTGAAAAGATGCTGTAGTCAGTCCTATGTTTAAGAGACAGATCGTATCTAATTACCGGCCTGTCAGTCTAACCAGAATAGTCGTTAAGTTACTTAAGAAGACAATTTGGGTTGAGTTACCAAGTCACATAGATTCGTATAGCCTGTTAATTCCCGAGCAACATGGCTTTTGTAACACGCATTCGGGCTTAAATAACTTGCTTTTTGCAGGAGGGGGTGGACAGCAGCCCTAGATAACGATCTCTCTGTCGACGTGATATTAATAGACTTTAGCAAAGCGTTTCACGAGGTTTCACACTTAGGTCCTATGCAGAAGCTCTCGAGCTTCGGAATAACAGGTGCTGTACATGAATGTATGGGAAATTTCTTACGTGACCTCAGATAGAGAGTGAGGGTCGAAGGAATACTATTTGAATGAAGGTCGGTCAAAAGTAATGTACCCCAAGGCACCAACTTAGGCCCTCGGCTCTTCCTTCTCTACGTTAATGAGTTACCTCTGTTGATCAGGTCGTGGACATTATTGTTTGCGGATGACGTAAAAATCTGGAGAACAATAAAAAGTGAGGCTGATCATTTGGGTCTCCAAGCTGATTTAGACGATTTGGTTAGATGGGCTCGAGGTTTGGGCTTAGAAGTTAATTCTAGGAAGAGTGTGCTGATGTACATCGGACACAGTAATAATTATCACTATACTATTGATGGTACATCTCTTCCATGCGTTCAAGAACACGAGGACTCAGGAGTAATAAGTCACGGAGTGAAAACAATTATTCATTGCATCTCAGCTGCTGCCAAAGGTTATTGTGTGTCATGGTCACTTCACTCAGCGTTCAAGTGCCTTGAGTAGATGTTTCGAGTTTTATATCTCACCTATGCAAGACCATGCTTAGAGTGCTGTATCCAAGCACCTAGTCCATGTCTGATTAAGGATACTAACTTACGTGAGCGTGTTCAGCGTGCAGAAACAAAATTAGGGAAGGGTCTTTCTAAACTGCTTTACGATGGACGTTTAAAATGCCTGAATCTTTTCCCCTTTATATTGTCGTAAGACGCGAGGCGACCTTGTACTGGCATTTCGTAACCTTAATTACGATTTTGGTGTTAATATGTCTTATCGTTTTGCTCCCTCCAGCACTAATAACCTCTGAGGTCATAGCATGAAGGTTCATAAACCTCGATCTCATAAACTTAAATTGGGGTTCCGTTTCCCTCATCGTGTAGTCAGTGACTGGAACGCATTACTCGAAGGTCAGTGATACTTAGTGAACAGTTTGATTAAGTTAATTGTAGCAGCAAATAAGTCCCCAAAATTAATAGCTCTTTACTTCTTCGATATTTGATGCCAACAGCTTTAGTTTTAATGAACTCATCTGGCTGAAGACGCTCGATCACGCCATGCCTCGCATTTCTTACAACCGTTATCTAGCATAGATTAGCCACTTCTCGATATATCCATATTCCATCAAATGTATCTTCGAACCTCTGGCTTCACTAGGTTG